GTTTAATATTCCAAAATATTTCTGTGTATATATTGCTAAATGTGTAAATAACATGTATATAAAAAAGCAAAGCTTAATTTTAAATTTCATTATCCTTGTCACAGGAAAAGCATCAAAATACTGTATAAGTACGGCACTTTTGCAGCCCCCCTGACAAAAATTCACTAAAAGAGTTAAGTATTCAAAAAATATTTTGGTATATATATTGCTTAATGTGTAACAAACATGTATATAAAAAAGCAATGCTTAATTCTAAGTTTTAATATTTTTTTTTAAAAATAAAAGCTACAAAAGCAAATAGGGAGAAGTGGAGCCATTTAGCCATTTTCAAAATTTGATTGTGAAAGAGTAAAAAAATGAGTAAATAAGAGCAAATATAAAGAAATAGTATTGCTAAATGTGTAATAAATATGTATATAAAAAAGCAAAGCTTAATTCTAAGTTTTAATAAGAAAAGCTGCAAAAGCAAATAGGGAGAAGTGGGGCCATTTAGCCATTTTCAAAATTTGATTGTGAAAGAGTAAAAAAAAGAATAAATAAGAACAAATATAAAGAAGAAATAATTAAGCAAAAGAAAGACATAAATAAATATTTAAATCTACAATTCGAAAAATAATATAACCTCAGCCTATTTATGAGAAAAAAAAAAGTTGCCAAAGACATTAGGAAAGATAATGCAAATAAGAAACATACACAAAAATTTAGCTCTATTTAAATGAAAAATTATAACAAAGTACTTACAAATTTTAATCATAATCAAATGAAGCAGAAATTAGTAAAAATTAGTAAATAATAATTAGTAAAAGGTAAACAAAAGAACGCATTTCAAAACAAAAGAATTGATGATGATAAATGCAAAAAATCTACGATTGTAAAATAGATTAAATTAAAAAATAAAAATAACTGTTAACATTAGGAAAATAAAAACAGGCCTATCATACGAAGAAAAAAATAACGAAAATTTTGGTATATAGATCGTTATGTGTAGTTCAGAATCTTCGGAGGAGATAGCTCAGGACTTTACAATGGAAAACTCTGTTACGGTATTATCTATATAGATGATAACCATTAATTACTCCTTTAATTATTTGGAATAAGAATAACTATAGATATATTGGGATATTCGGATCTGATAGTTGTTATAGGTGTGACGTATTTTTTCTTCTAAAAAATAAAAAATGAATGAGAACTAAAAAAATGAATTATTGGTGTGAGATATGGTTCATTTCATTATTATTCAATATTCTTAGAAGTAATTCAAATTTTACAATAAAAAGGGAAATCATATCAATCATATTACAAAGTTTCTAAACTTATTAAAATTTTATCTAGTTATTAATGAATCATTATATATTTGTTAGTCATATGGACACTGAAAGAGAAACTCAGAAACAAAAAGGAAAAAAAAAAAAAAACAGATTCTTTAGGAATACAAATTGGCAAAGTGAAAAAAGTAAAAATGATTAGAGTAAAAATACATAATAGAATAAATCGTTCTAAAATTAAGCAAACTTGAGGTAAAATAATTAAGTACTAAGTATATTTATATTGATTTAAATTATCAAATATTTATAAAACATTCAAAAAGTCAAACTTTTCGACTCATAATTTTTGGTATACCTTGGTTATTGGTTAGACTGTAGATGCGAAGGTATCGAAAATATATGTGGAGAAAGAATTTTTGCACAGTGTCGCGCTTGACACATTCAGAGGAACGCGATGCCATCTACATAAAGGAGCGGAGGGTAGCTGGATGGATTGGGGCAGGAGAGCAGCATTTCGCCAAATTGATCTCCAGACCACTCTACTATTGAATTGTATATACCAATACAACAGTAGAGCGGTCTGGAGATTAATTTTGCTTAGCTGCTAAGAGAGTTCACCACTGATAGGTTAGTACTCTTATCTAAAAAAATTTACCATTTTATTTGATACCATTGAATACTCAAAAATATGTACTCATGGACAAAACTTAAGGAAGTTTCATATTTTGATATCGCCCGCCGTTTTTCTTTTTTTTTTTTTTTTTCCGAGACAGAGGCAATTTTGTTCACACTTGATTATCTTGTGTGTCTTCAATAAAAGACATCGAATATCTTTGTTAATTATTGGATGAATTCCGATATACCTGCTAAAAGGTAAAACATTCTTAAATTTAGTCCTTAAGTTATATCGAAGAAACATATATTGCCAAAAATATTTATCAATAGATAGATATTTAAAACGAAAATTGAAATTATACCGCGAATGTTTCTTTTATAAAATCGAAATTTATTTTCAAAGAGAAATAGCGACATTTCTAACTTTGAGGATGAGGTATGGAAAGGTGAAACATGAAGAGTAATGGCGAACGGAAAAATAAAAAGTGTCCAGGGGCGGGAATCGAACCCACACCCTTCTGCTTACCGGGCAGGTGCCTTGTCCACTCGGCTACCCTGGACGTATTTTTCCGTTCGTAACTAATACTTGAAGTAACATTTAAAATACAATATAACGCGGCTGATGATTGTAAAACGAAAATTGCAATTATACCGCGAATGTTTCTTTTATAAAAATCGAAATTTATTTTCAAAGAGAAATAGCGACATTTCTAACTTTAAGGATGAAGTATGGAAAGGTGAAACATGAAGAGTAATGTCGAACGGAACGGTGTGGGTTCGATTCCCGCCCCTGGACACTTTTTATTTTTCCGTTCGCCATTACTCTTCATGTTTCACCTTTCCATACTTCATCCTTAAAGTTAGAAATGTCGCTATTTCTCTTTGAAAATAAATTTCGATTTTATAAAAGAAACATTCGCGGTATAATTTCAATTTTCGTTTTACAATCATCAGCCGCGTTATATTGTATTTTAGATAGATATTTCATTTATAAAAGTATAAATTATGTTTTTTTCTGAGAGTAAATAATTATACTTTAAGAAAAGTCAGTTGATTATTAGAAAATTAATTTAAAATTCTCGGCTGTAAAATTTAAAAAATGTAAAACAACCTGCCAAATATTGCAGTGGAAATTTCCATTTATTGCATACAATCAACTAATTTCGCATGTAGACTATAATCCTTATAATCATTCCGAATCATTCCATTCGAAGGCGGGATTTGTCTAGTTGGTTTATTGAGGATATATTTCTGGTAAGAGGTTTCCTATTGACACACACGTCCACATTCATAAGCCTGTAACCAGAAAATAGGTTTATCATCTTTTGTAGGTTGTTTACAACTTTAAAAAGGCAAGTGAAATACTTTCTATATTTTAGGAAGTAGGTATAAATTATAAATATGCCAGAATATTCTATCTTAATGGGGATCAATTTTTTACATGTATTTATCTTTTTCTTTGTTGCCTTTAGTTTTCTTATTTCTTTTACTACTTCATGTGTTAATTCTATGAGGTCTTACCCGTTTTTCATTTGTATTTCTTGAGATTGGTGTTACGAGTTGACCTTAGTTTAGTAAAGATTCCAGCTATTTGTGTCCTCTTGTTATGAAATGTTTTGCTGCTTTGTAGATTCGTTGTTAGAAAAATTAATGTATATGGTTCAGATATAGATATGTTCATATTTTTTATATTTCAATATCATTTTCAGGTTAATCTCAATAAGGATGGGGTAGTGGTCAGTGATGCCCATTTTGAGAGGCGTCTAATCAAGGTTCTCAATAAGGTTCAAACTAGCAGAAGTTACATCTATTGTGGATTCAGTTCCATGAGTCCTTGAGAGATAAATCATCTCTCTTGTATTTGCGATGGCGAGATCATTGAAGTTCTCCAGATGTTTTCCCTTTAAATCCAGAGCACCAGATCCCCCCTTGCTGGACATTCTGTATTACAATTTCTGAATAGTACTGTAGAGATGGTTGTCCAGTTGCAAATATCTTCCATTGTTTTTGTATATTGGAATAGGGTCTGGGTGGTAGTTGTTTAATATTTTTTAAATGTGTTTGCTGTTTTTAAATAGGTATTTTAATGACTTTAAATTAAGCTGTCTTGTCATAAAATAAATACACCATTATATTATCATATTTATTGATTTTATGTATGGTTATAAAGGCAAGTCCTCTCTTTCTCTCCGCCGTCTTCTCGATCTTTTCTGACTGTTTAGTAGTCTGCGATTTGACTTTTCCGATTTGAATTGAGCTTGGTTTCCTGGGGGCATTCTATATCAATGTGGTCACACAGCAGCCTACTAATAGTTGTCCAAATTTACTTTGAACATAAACTAGATATTCCATATTTGACAATAAATAATATTTAACAATAAACCAAATATATCTTGGAAAATTCCATAAGTTTTCATATTACCGAAGGATATCTTTAACTGTCATGACTTCTATTTTTTTAGGTACAACAAAAGAGTATGCTTTTTTCAAATATATATAAATAAATACATATATAATGAATAATATTTTGGTTGTTATTAGATAAAGGGTTGATAAGACAAAGGATCGATAAGATAAAGGGTTGAGGAGCAGTCGTGAATAAAAAAAAAGTTAATAATTTACCGTCAAGTAGGTTTTATTTTCAATTACTTGAGGAAATATTACACATTTGTTATTTTCACCATATATAGAATTTATAAAGTTAATCCTATATTAGTGATTTAAAAGGATAGATATGTTAACTACGCATATTTACAACAAAACTATACAACAAAACTGAAAGTCTTTCTAAAAACGATGATAACAAAAGTAAAATTATAAATAAATAAAATAAAATATATATTTTTAAAATATAGAAATATTTGAGTTTTTAGATGATCCATCTATATATATATATATATATAAAAGTCAATGTCTGTCTGTTTCGCGATAAACTCAAAAACTACTGAATCAATTGGTACCAAATTTTGCATGTCGCTTTTTATAAACCTGAGGAAATTTTTCGCAAATACATTTTGATTAGTATTTTTGGCTTTTTCTTTTTTTCATTTGAAGAACTTTTTTTTTTACGCGGAGTAATCCGGAATGGAATGAATACCCAAATATGGCCATTTTTTATAAGCATCGGTGGTTCAGTGGTAGAATGCTCGCCTGGCACGCGGGCGATTCGATTCCCGGCCGATGCATTTTTCTTTTTACAATTTTTAAAACTCATTTATATATCTTTATATATATAAAAATGAATGTTTGTATGTTTGTCTGTTTGTTTGTTGGTTTGTATGTCCGGTATACAAATTCGCAGTAGTTCACTAATTCAAACCAAAATTTCCATACATAGGTAAATAAATACGGGGAAGACGATAGGCTATTTAAAAATATATATAAATCAATTATTAAAACTATATATTTTTGTTCAGAAAATGATGATGACGATATTGCTGTATCATGTTTGATTATTAGATACAAAATTATATAGGGAAAAATTCCAAAAAGCAGAGACCACGGGTGAAACCATTTCATTATTTTGTACGCAGGAACAAAATTCTAACAGAAAAACCTTCATTCGAGCAGAAAACAAAAGCCAGATTTCTATTAAAAAATATCGCTTCTCAGGCACAAAGTTTGGAGAAGGACGTTTCACAAGAGTGACATCCACGGCGCCAATTTATAATTGTAACGAATAGTATTTAAATAAAAACATTTAATCGGGTAAAACCCGGGCGTTTACCGGGTCATTCGGCTTGTATAATATATATGTGAAAAAATAGTACAAATGTTATATTGTACTGGGATAAGGTGCATAAATTAAGAAAAAGGCATATCCTTATCGTGCAACTGAAAGTTGCTGATGGCTTGCGCCATCTATCGGAATAAAATTCAGCTATTCTCGTTGGTTTTTAGTTATTACAGTATTGGTCAAATACCCATTCTTGATTAATCAAGAAAAGCTAACCACGGACGCGTTTCGGGCTGTTGGCCCTCATCAGCGTAGTGCAAGCTGTACCTCGACGACCAAAAAAAAAAATTGGTCATTAAGGCATCCTGTCAAATCATGAAACGGGTAGTTAAGGCCAGAATTGCGTGAGACCGCGACACAATGTAAAAAAATAGTACAAATGTTATATTGTACTGGGATAAGGTGCATAAATTAAGAAAAAGGCATCTCCTTATCGTGCAACTGAAAATTGCTGATGGCTTGCGCCATCTATCGGAATAAATATCAACTATTCTCGTTGATTTTTAGTTATTCCAGTATTGGCCAAATACCCATTCTTGATTAATCAAGAAAAGCTAACCACGGACGCGTTTCGGGCTGTTGTCCCTCATCAGCGTGGTGCAAGCTGTACCTCGACGACCAAAAAAAAAAAAAGGTCATTAAGGCATCCTGAAAAATCAACTACCCGTTTCATTATTTTTCAGGATGCCTTAATGACCAATTTTTTTGGTCGTCGAGGTACAGCAGTCCCAAAACAACATCTAAAGATAGATAGGAAACTGTCAGGACGGCGCCAGTGTAGAGTTTCGCCAGCCGATTCACGCTCGTGTTGCATCTGCTGAGATGCAATACTTCCTTTCTCGGAAAAGATATATAACGCCTCCGTCCTAGCCAAATATATAGTCACACAACTATCAGCGGAATCCCTCGTCGGTTGTCACCAAGGTCCACCTCATCGACCATGTAGAACAGTATGAACTCTTGTATCTCCATCTTCCGCTCCTAGTTCAACTTTTATCTTTTCACGGAGCTTTCATAGTGCAACTGTGTCTTCGTATTTTTGTGGGGACATTCCCAAGCTTTCAACTCTGCCTCGACCACGACTGTCCGTACTCTGTGAGAACTGATAAAGGTCCTCCAAGGTGCAGAGAGGTACTGGAAAAATCTCCACGCCCTGACTGTCTCTCTCGGTTACTACAGGTTTGCCCCTTTCGGTTACCATACCACAGCGAAAGACCCTCGGTTACCACAGTATAGCGAGAGTCGATAGGATTATACAAGAGTCAACAGGATCTCATGACAATTATAGCCGACAGGATGACCAAAACGAAGAATGACACAACGAAGAAGGTAAGAGGATTTGTCCAGATAGAAGCCTGAAAGAGCGAAGATGGAGGAACAAACCGACCATTACAACGAAACGACAAAGCAATCTCTCCCCAAAAATACATATTTATGGAAGACATGACGTCCCAAGGGACCTCCACAGACCCGCTAATAGATCGCCCACGCCGGGAGCAAGCTGTCTGGCCACCCCAACGACACAGTCGATATTCCGCAAAAAATGGAAACCGAGCAGCGATGTGGCGCAAACCCAGAGATAAGTTATCCACCTTCGGCCTGACATCGACAATGCATAAGGCGACAAGCTGCAATGAACTTTACATAAGTTACAAGCTTCTACAATGGAGCGCTTTCCACGTCAGCAGGACAACAACCAAAGACCAAGTTTCCTCACTTGAACAATCATCAACTGTACGTTAAAAAAAAAAAAAAACGACATAACATTCTCCTCAAGCCCTCAACCTAATTCCCCGTGAATTTGTTTATTTTCACCTTAGTCATTTCAAATTCAATTTTAATTATTTTTTCATTCTTAATTCAAACTTTAGTTTTTTATATCATTTTTTTTTTCAATTTTAAAAACTTTCACACTCTCAATTTTCAAATTTACTTTAAATTTTAATCAGATTATAAATTTCAAGTTATTACTCTCAATTTTACTTTTTAAAAAAATTTCGCCCATCACGCATTCTTAAAAATCTACTAATTTTACATGTCTTTCCAAAATTTACCTAAAATGGTACTATCCAAATCTAAAACTTAAAAAATCATTATTTTTATATTTAAATAAAAAAAAATCTCATCATATCATAATTCAAAACATATTTTTGTTTTTACAAAAATTCTAATTCATCATAATTCTAAACCTTTTTTTTTTTTTGTTTTTGTTTTTCATAGTATCTTATTTTCATACAAAAATAGCAATATTTTAATCAAATGCTAAAATGTTAATCAAATGTTAAAATCATTGTCATAATTACCATTTTTTGTAAGCTCATCAATTCAAAATATTCTTGTCACTATCACGACATTGCCCTTTTAAAATAATCATTTTAACTACCATAATCAACGATTTAAAAATATATTCAAATTTTAAATATAAATCAACATAGGTAAAACGCATTTACTAATATCAAAATGAAAGGAGACAATATCTTCAAAATTACAACTAGAAAAATAACATATCTCCCCAAAACAAGTTAAAAATAAAGATTCCCTCCACTTCACCGCCAGTAGCTAAATTAGGTCACAACCTGCCAAACCTATTACAATCGTTAATATTCGAGGATAAATACACTCCCTCGTCCTTTCCTTTTACATGCATATTTAATCATCAACAAATCTCTCTCAACAAACCTTACAACACTCACACACTACTTTATCCAATTTGCAGCAATTATTAGTGCGCGACTTCACAAACAAATAAAATTTCGAGCCACACGAGCTCCATAACGTCGCCCCACTAAAAACTCGAATAATTCCACATTAAACGTGCCACATCCACTAACAATCTGAAAATTATCGATACATATTCGTACAACCACCATCCATGACTCTAGTAAACTTGTTATTCATGGTGAAACAGGTTAGATTTTGTACCAAACAACGACTTCGCGCGACACCTTTTCATTCACAATTTTCCACTTCGTGCCACAGCGCCACACCACAAAACCTTTTCACCTTTCTAGGGCAAAGACGCCTTCATGCCTGTGACACATCTCACCCCAAAGCGTGTCAACGTAGAAATTCGCACTTTCACCACACATCTAAACCTGACATCAACGAATAACATTTTTATTAAGTCCGCCACAACGTCGATACTCCAAGACACGAACACCGAGAAAACATTCCTTTCTATTATACCATAAATTTATCAACCTCAACAAAAAAAAAAAAGAAAGTCAGTTTCAAGTAAATGAAAAATTAACAAACACCCCGCACGAGTGACCCCCCCAGTATTAGGATCCCCGATAATATTTCAGTTACATATCCCCGTCCAACGTCCCCTCACAAAGCTATCATCTTGACCGCTATCTTCATGATCGCCATTTTTAAAACACATGTTTCACACTAACCATTTAGGTTTTCTCACAAATCTCACCAACGCCTTAATAACAACACAACATACATATCGAACATTTTACATGTTAATGGAGATAACAATACATAAAATATTAGTAACCAATACAACCAATAAATTGCGCTTCTGAAATTTCTATTTATACAACCGACACAAC